AAAAAAAAAAAAAAAAAAAAAAGGAAAAAATGCAGCGTGCAAAAGAATCACTTGCAAAGCGCTACACGTGTGAATCGGCAGGACAGAGAAGAGGGGCTACATAACTTTTACATTTTTAAAGTTGAAGCCATGTTTACCCATAACGTTGAAGGTCAAGTATCCCTCCTTCTTCGCGGAGACGCAATTGTTCACGTCGTCATCCACGAATAAAATTTCGTCAATGCTTACTCCAAAGTCGGTCCTGATCTGTGGCGTGGTGTGAAGGGGGGAGGAGCGGTGTGGTGCGGCGCGATGTGTACAGAGCAGCGCGGTGTGGCGTGGCACCGCTTCACCCTCCTACCTGCTTCAAATGGTACGACTTGTCGTGACTCATGGGCTTGTCCAGCCCCAGCTTCCGATACTGCCGAGGCTCCCGGTAGTACCTGTGTAGGAGGAGCCAAGGGGGGAATGGATTCACAAAAGAACAAGTGCACACAGCATTATAAATATGTGCGCAGGCAGAATATTATATATTATATATTATATATTATATATTATATATTATGTGTCATGTGCACAGTTGACAAGGCATCTGACAAGCCACCCTTTTTTTTTTTTTTTTTTTTTTTTGCGTCTCTCTTTGGCCGCTCCGTCCTTACGGGGGGTAGTAGGCATAGACCTTCTCAATCTTCGCGTCACACTTGCTCCCCTTCATGCTGAAGTTAACCATTTCTTCACCCGCGATGAGGTTGGAGTTCCTGCCGCGGCCGTACCGGATGGCCTCCTCGTCTGCGAAGCGTACGGTGCGATGTGTGTGGTGCGATGTGTGTGGTGCGATGTGTGTGGTGCGATGTGTGTGGTGCGACGTGTGTGCTGTGATGTGTGCGGTGCGACGTGCACGGTGCAACGTATCCCTTCGCTCACCTGAAAACGTCGCGACGGTAATTTGAATTCCGTTTTCGTTCAACGCCTTGGACAGAATCTTAAAGTGATTCGTCACTGCAGTTCCAATGTGGCTCACGTCGTTGGTCGTGTCGACGTAGCCTCCTGCGAGGGGGGAGACATGCGGTAAAGTAAGTGGTCAGGCACACTACAACCGATAAATGTATTCAACGGACGTCCCCTCGTATGGAAGGACTGTTCTTACCAGAGTGGGCACCAATAATCGTCAGGTCAAAATCAAACACAGCCATTTTTATGTTAAACTCCTTCAGGAGATCAGCAAACCCATTTATACCTATATAAAAAAAAAAAAAAAAAAAAAAAAAAGACGTACACAGGTACTTACGCGGTGTCTGGTCGCCACTTGTAAGTGACGCAACGAAGTGACGGGAGCGGAGAGGAGCGGACCGCAGGAGAGTGTTTACACACGTGGACCGTCCGCTGCGCGCGTCTGGCCAACTTACTCTCCTCTTCATTCTTATAATCAAAGTTCTTCAGGTACTTCTTCACAGCCTCCAGCTGTGCTGCACTCGTCTTGGTCGCGCCCGACATGGTCCTGCAGGACTGTTCCTTCTTGGCTGTGAGGGTTTTGTTGGGCAGGCATGTGCACCTCTTACATGTGCCGGCGTACGACAATGCGCACAAGAAGGTGTACGTGAAAAGTGTCGCAAGGAGTCGCACGCACATGGTGTAGTGGTGTAATGGTGTAGCGATGTAACGGTGTAGCGGCGTAACGGCGAGTGTGTAGAGGGGGGAAGCGAAGCGAAAAACAAACGGAGCCGTGGGCGCCTTTACCTGGCAAATTGCTTCACAACTCTTCTTTTCTTTTTTTTTCCCACTTGGTGCGCTTGAGTAGGTTCCTCCTAAACTGGCTGCGCCAGGTGTAATCGATTTATACATGTGACGCGTGACATGTAACATGTGACATGTAACGTGCACACGTGAAGCACGTACCCATGGACGCACGCGTGCACTCCTCGTCAAACCCAATATATTACCATTACCCCTCTGGGGGAAACTCACAACGGGATGAAAAAAAAAAAAAAAAAAAAAAAGAGACGCTACAGAACATGTAGAGGTGACGTTGCGTTATTTTTTTTTTTTTTATTTTTTTTTTTTGTGGAGAGTATGGATTTTATATAAGAAGACCAGCAGAGGTGCTCCCTTCCTTTTTGTTCTTGCCAGCTGACAAGGGCATCGTTAAAGGCAGGGCAAAAAGGGAACGAATAAAAGGAGGGGGGGGAAGGGCGCCAAAAATAAAAAAAAAAAGAAACAAGGAGGAGAGAGAGGGAGAAGTAGTCTGTATATATGCTTCTTCCTAACCGATACGAACACATAAGAGAAAAAAAAGAAAGCAAAGTAGAAAGAGAGAGTTTGCCATCTGAGTAACTCTCATGACAAGTCAGATTTTTTTTTTTTTTTTTTTT